CAGAACTATAAAATTATTCACACATACAAACATGCAGACACAGACATATATACACACCTTTAGCAATGGTTTTGATGGTCCTGCATTCCAAATAAATTAGATAATGTGATCTTGAGAGGAAATGGAGAAAGAAAATGTATTTTTCAAACAATATATTCTTTAGAAATTAATGATATTGCACAACAGTAATAATGGAAGAAACTAAACATTAAATACAACATAACTTTAATATTACTGAATTTTTAATATTTTACAACCAACAAGGTTTTCAAGTATATAGAGCATAGCACCCTGTTGCTTATACTTTCCTTGTATTATTTTTTCAATGTAAGTTTATAAGTCCATATACTTTTTTCCAAGTATGTATAAACTTATTTATCACATATCTGGCACAAACATATAGCCAGATGAAACCTTTATATATGAACATGGAAATATTCACAGAAATATGTAATGGTAACTCTGCTACAACAAGGCAATTTACAGTTTTGTTTAAATCTTTGGTATATGAAGACCATTGGATCTGTACAGTTTGCTTTACATTATCTTTTTTGTTTAAATAAAAAGCATCCCGACAACACCTGAGGTAAAAGCCTCAAAAAATCAGTAAATCATTCAAGATATACATCAAAATTGATCTATCATTGTGTAAACAATCTACTGTAAAATCAACATTGAACCATATGGTCAGTTCGAAGTTTCAACTTTCACTACAGTTCATCTTGCTCTATAAAATCAGGTGGTAAAGGTGTCCCAATCGTCGTACTACTGCCATCCGGGGTAACAGATAACTCATTTGATGTCGCACATGCAGGTGTTGAGAATGTGGAGGGAGTCGGTGGAGGTGTAACTTTCAGAGAGCAGGACGAGTCTGAGGAGGATGAAGTAGATGATGTGGATGATGTTGACATTGACTTTGAATGTGATGCTAGAGATATTGTTGGGATAGGGTCGGCAACATTTTTATCTTCAACACAAAAGGTGGAAGAGTTCACCATTGATCTCTCAGGTGTTGGGGAGCATGATTCTGTCCATTCTGTTGATAAATCTCCACCTTGGAGTTCTCTACTCTGGGACTCCATCATCCCATTGACATGATGTTCCTCTAGATCTTCTCCATTGACTTTTGATAATGAAGTTTGCATTGCTGACAAGGAACATTCTGCAGTTGGCTTTGATTGCTCTGCTGTGGTGGCAGAATCTTCTGTGGCTGGCACCGATCCCTCTGCCATGCAATCAGAATCCTCTGCATTGAATCTGCAACTCTCTTCAGCAGGCATGGAAGACTCGGCAGGTAACGAGGGTGGCACTTGTGGGGGTGGTGGGGTTCCCTCTGATGATGTGTTCCCTGGTGTGGGGTCCCCTGAGGCTGTCCCCCTGCTGGGTGTGGCCTGGGAATGTGTAGGGGAGCCTCTGCTAGAAGAGGCTCTGGAATGTGTAGGCGAACAATACTTGGCACGGATGTGTAGGAATGGGTCGGCTGACTTCAGATTAAACACGGTCACCTGGAATATAAAGAAATATTCAACCTCATCCAAATGATAATAATTAAGAAGTAGCAAAATTTAAATCTTTTCATTACTGTACAGTAGGACTTTAAAATGTGGGAATATATTGAACATTTTCAGAGACAGAGAATGAAGATCGATATCCCTTATACTTAAAAAAACAACACTTCAACTGTGGCCTAAAAATAACTAACAAAGAACGACCAAAATGCAGAAAAACTGGCAAAATACTAGTTGGATACTATATTACATATGGTAAACCATGACCTGAGATATTCTATACCACTGCTATACATTGCCTAAAGATTGTTTTTGAAGTATAATATTGTGTACAAATAAGCACTGAACAAATATCAGTGAAGTTTACAGAAGAATTGAAGCAATGATTCATACTCCCGTATTAGCTGATAGATGATATCAGACAACATTGGCAAGTTCAGCATTATAAGTGAAAGATTATGAAAAGCTAAAAAAGACCAAAGATGGGAAAGCACTCTGAAGCCTACAAGTCCAGTTCAGAATGTTTAATTCAGAACTGACAAACACAGCCCGCAGGCTAAATCCTGTACAAGTTTGTCTCTTGTCATATTACTTTGGCATGTCATATAAAAATTGCTATAGGTCCTAATCCCACATGCACAAGACATCCTATATGACTGTAATATCATAAAATATTTACCGTGTGTGTGTGTTCGAGAGTGTGGGAAGAGTGAGGTGTAGGCATGGTCGTGTGCATGGGCGTGGGTGTTGGTGGGTGGGTTGGTGGATGTGTATGTACACCTGAATCACTACACACAGTTAACCCTTCTCAACCCCTTGTAGGTCTCATTCAAATGTAATAGGTCAAGCAGTCTTTAAATTTTGTATATATTTTCATGTCTCACTGAGTATGAAGAGAAGTTTATATACACACCAAAAAAACACACATATACATACAGAAAAAAACATACATGCAGGCTGACACAGACACACAAACACACAGACAAACAACAGACACACACACACAACAGACACACACACACACACACACACACACACACACACACACACACACACACACACACACACACACACACACACACACACACACACACACACACACACACACACACACACACAACACACACACACACACACACACACACACACACACAGATGTAGACATACATATACACTGACACAGACACAGTCTTCTCTAATACCAAGACATAACTTACCTTCACATGCAAATGAAGCTAAATATCTTCCAGGCCAATAACAACTACACTGACAGAGAACTAAAAAGCTATACCTTCAGTTATAATACTCTGAATACTTTTATAAATTACAAATATAGAAATACTCATGTCAAGCACAATATGTTTGCGAAAGTTCATATAGTGCCATTTAGTTGCTCAAGGTGTAATGTATGGGAGTTTTGTGTCTGCTGTATATATCACATACAAGTATATTTGGTATGTCTGTTTCATATGGAATCTCTATTTCCTCTGATTAATGGAAAATTGTACTTTTCCTACATGAGAAAGTAAAACACCTTGAAAAATGTCTATATTCTGCTACAATATGTACAAATATAATATACTGTATCATTTTCTAATCATAAACCCAGTAATTTTCAACATTCACCCTTGGATATCATATGCAATCACTATGTACATGTATAATTTTTTCCCAAGAAGATTTTGTTTCTAGCAGAAGAAACACATGCATGCACAAAAGAAAACTTCCCTTCCCTCTCCCTTCTTGCCTCTTCCTCTGCAAACTGATAAGGCATATAAAGGATACAAGGAGAAATGGGGATAGCTAATATGTCATATTGCAAGCTTCTGTATTTATATCAGATATAACTGTTCAACTGGATTAACTTTACTGCTATTATAATAAGGGAAAACTAGAAAACCAGTCACAGATGCTCCTATTCAACAAGATTGTGTATAAACACTCTCAATGGATAACAAGTAAATCAGGAAAATATTACTGTGCAGAATCTAGCTGGCTAATTCAAAATAGTCAAGAAGAAATGTGGCCAAAAATGTACACAATAAAAAAAATAGCTAAATATTTTTTTTATCAAAGGCATGGCATCCTACAAACTGTTCTATCAAATACTTACTGTATAGTATACTTACTTGTTAATATGACCTCTAGATGAAATGTATAAATTCAAAGATATTAAAGAAATTCAGTAAAACATAATGTAGAATAGACAAAAAGCAGCATACAAAATAAAAAAAATTAAATTAGGTATAGCTCAAATTTAGCATATATATATTTGTTTCTTTCCTTTTTTTCTCCGTTTGTATGTGATCATGGTGCAAACTAAAAATGGAAACATGCCAGAATTTTAATGTTCTGGAGTATTTGATCTATTTATAACACCTGGTTTCCCATATAAAATTTAATTAAATAAAACTGACTAATCAAATAATAATAAAACATAAAAATCACTACACTCTGACCTACAGGACCACATTGGAATGTTATCTGCTACTTCTCTTTTTCTATGAGACAGTAATAATATCCTACCTTCCACTGGGACATCTTACTTTTTTCTACCCAATTTACTATAATCTTATAATTTTTCCAAGTATAAGTAAGGTCTACAGACAGAAATATTAAAGAGTTCTTTCTGTTGTACTCTTTGAAACTATGTTTACCACTCATTGTGAAATGCTGAAAATTTCCTTTGAGAATGATTAGAAGGGGAGGATAAATATCTAATCATATACCTCATTAAAACAATCATAAATGTTTGGCACTGCAGACTTACAGTCTCAAATTTGGTGTATTTCTATTATTGATTATTTTCTTAATATTTCAAACGACTAATAACTTTAATACCCACTACATTCCATACAAATATCTGAGAAAGTATGATTTACAGTTACAGTAACTGGTTTGATAAAATGAACTGCACCCATTGTTTTGTTTCTATTCTATTTAATGGAGTGGCTCTATAATTTTAAGCCCCTTCAAAGAATTTTCATACAAACAAAAGAGACATATGTTTGGAAGGCACAAAATAATATGTCTATGAAAGCAGGACTAACACAACCCCTAAACCTACATTTAAACATATCCCTAAGTCAGGATAATTTTAAAAATTACATGTAAAGAGAGAGACAGAGAAGCGGAAGTCTTTAGAAACATTTGCAACAGCAGCATGATGAGATCAGCATGCATTATATTTCACACATTTAAGTGAGGTCCTGAGAGAGTTTGACATCTGATACAATGCAAATTTCATTTCTTTTTTCCTCACCTGTTTTGGATCATGTCGAAGCAGGTAATGCTCAAGTGTGTCCCAACCACCTCCAACTCTAACCATCACATGTTTCCCCTTTAGCAACTGGAAGAAAGAGGTTGTAAAACTCATCAGCTCAGTAGTGCAGTCACTGAAATAAACTGGTTTTCATGTTAGCTAGTCTTGAATCTATACAAAAAATAGGTGATTTTTGTCATATCCTTGCTTGGCTAAAATCCTTAAATCATTTGTTTCTGAACTAATGCTACCATAACATTATATCCCTTTTGAGTAATGGTTATTATATCATTAATTACTACCTTGCATTCAATTAGTACAAGAAATGTGAATTTGTCATACATGCAAATTAAATTATTACATTTCTAATAAAACGTACATGCTTTATAAGGAGCCTCTATCATTACATTTAATTACTCTTGTGTAGAAATCATAGTGATACACTGATATACAAAAAAACGACAACAATAGAATCTTAAATAAACCAACTCTTTTATGACACCTAAAAGGACAAAAAGGGGAAAGGAGCAACAAAAGATTTAAAATAATAATGATTACATAGGGTTCAAGAGCAGTGTTGACCATCGCAGGTGAAGTTGCAGGAGGGCGATGCTTCTGTTTGAGATGCAATAAGGAAGGAAAAAAATATAAGAAACAGAAATAACCCTCTAAAAAGGAATTAATATACACCAAAGCCAGTTAACTCAAGCAATTACATTGAGGAAAAAATATAAAGAAAAGAAAACCCAAAGATAGTCAAATCAAAACTATTTACTAAAACTACAAAGAAAAAACAAAGAGGAGCTACAACAGGAATACAAAATCAAAATTCACAAAAGAGTATAGTAATGACTCGAAATGAATATGAAAGAAGGAGAAAAGTTTTTCTTTTTATCAAGAGTGACAGGAAAATAAATATGAACATAATACAAAACAGAAAAAGTGTTTACATCGGAGGCAGAAGGGAAGTGGACTTTTCTCAGAGTCGAGGTGTTTAGTTGATGCCTCAGTGCGGAGCTGTTGCTTGTCTACCATCACAGGTTGAAGGGAGGGGGTGGGAGGAAAAAAATACAGCAATTTGACACTGCAAGTTTACATGAACTGGGAATTTAGGTACCTTAAAAGCCTTTTGACTTTGCTTTAGTCTGCTTCTTTGTGTGTAAGAACTTTTATCATATGATTTCAATATTCCATTTACACTGGTGATATCTGATATTGCTTTAGACCTTGGTTATGATTATTTATGGTTAGGAGGAACCATGCATAGTATATCAAAGGCAAACATAGAGTATTTGGGAGTAAAATGAAGACATGCAAACACCAAAGAAAAGAGTATTTACGAACAAATACAGAACAGAACAGAACAAAACAAAACAAAAATACACCATCTCCAGAGCATGGAAAATCTCTAAACTTCATTGAATATCTCATGTTTGTCTCTTAAAATAAAGAAAAACAGAACTTGAGAGATTATTACATATTTCTTTCTGGTGGACTTGAAGTCCCATGTACTGGGATGAGGAAGCTGATGTCTCAACACTAACTTCTTCTTGCTCTTTAAATTAAAAAAAAATAAAAGTGATATATAATATAGGAAAAACTGTGGTAATGAATCCTTTTTAGATATACTATATATAAATCAAACTAATAAACACCAATGGAGGATATAAAACAATCTACCTAAAGTTTTTTTGCTTCTTTTTGATGATTCAAGCTACTCTACACAGAATCACAAACAAACAAACAGTTTAAAATCATCTAATTTTTTATCAGCATTACTTTGATCTCAAATGGTGAAATGATTTTGCTAGCTGCTGGGTTGTGGTGACGAGGACGTTTCACAATGGATTTGTCGTCAGTTGCATAGCATTTCTGCCCATGACAAGAAACAGAAGATGAATTTAGCATCTGGGGAACCAATAAATTCTTCTAATGATAATTTTCCAAGACAATACCATGTAAATTACACAGAAAACATAAACAAACAGGTTATGATCATAGCTGGATCAAAATTTATGACAGATTATTAGATTATAATTTTGATAACCACATTTCATCTTTCACCCCTTAAGGAAGGCTAATATTCTTTGAGGCATTTCCTATCTTTCTTGAAGTTTAAGGAACTTGTAAAAAGTAAAAATTAATACAAGTGACCATAACTATATTGTGTTATTTTTTTACAAACAGAATATCAAATCTGAAAAGTAGGACTTGTCTTAGATAAGTTTTTAGAAAATATTTTTATTCCTTTTATACTAGATATCCAACACTGTCACTGGATATTTGGCCTACTCCTTCTTTTCTAACTGTAAAAGTAAAAATAATTTAAAGTTGAAGCCTAGTATTTTTTTCTATTTTCGTTTACTAATCTTTAGAACTTGGAAAAAGTCTTATCAAGCTACATCCCTTCACTTTTTTTTTTTACAAAACCTGAAGGCATTTTACATTTCACAGAAGTGAACGCTCTAACCCTTACCCACAAATTAAGCTGAATGAAAGTCATCTTAATTAAGGGGTTAAAGATAAAGAAGAACTAGAATTATAGATTAACCACTCACTTAATCATTCTTTACAATTTTAAGAGATATTTATGACAAATGATTATTGAATTTTGCACAACAATAAATTTAAACCTTTTTAAAATGTAAAAAACCAGCAAGATTTACATCACATATCCTAGGGGAGTGTATGTTCTTAGGAGGAGAACCCCAGGGTTGTTGGATGACTAGG